GGGGCTGCTGCTCTTATTAATTGAATTAATTGTTTAGACAGATAACTGGAATCTCAAGTTGGATCATATGTGGGAGGGGTCGATCATGTTGCATTCCTTTACTTTTCTTTTCACTCCTTGATGGGATGTCACATATCATTTCAGATACCCCTCCCCCCCCCCCCCCTATAGGTATTCCTCTCAAGCAAATCAATCGATAGAGGAATGTGTAATTGGGTTAGTTCAGCAATTACATAATGATGCCTTTTGTCTCAAATTTTCAGACTTGTTGGATTGGATAGAAAAGGATCTTAAAGTAGTGTAGTTATTTTGGCTCTATGTTCTCCAGTTTCGCTCTGATGAGTGCGAGGTTATGTCTTTTGTATGTCTTTTTTGAGAGGCATGTGCATTAGTCTTTTCTTTCTTTCATAGTATCAACTTGTATTGACATCTTTATATTAATTGCAATCATGAGATGTGTAATAACGAGTACATTTGTAGGTTCTATTATAATTTGTTTTTTTCTTTGGTGATGGATCCTTTCTCTGAATGCAATTTGTACTTTATTTGCCTGTATAAACATCTATGTGTTTTTACATTTGTTGTTGTTCAGCTACCCTAAATACCCGACGTTATATTATTACCAAGAATGTGTTTCTTCTAACAATATTGACAGAAGAATTATATCTTTAATAAACGATTTTATCAGTATTGTACTACATGTACTTCAAACTGGATGAGATTTATTCTTTTGCAATTTCATGTCTTTGAATTGTTCGTTTGTGCCATTAAGTCAGTGTAGACAGACGCGGATCCACGTGGCGATTTTTCCGGCCCTGCTCCCCCCACCCTCTAGTCTAAAAAAAAATGTTTAAAAAAATAGGATAATAACGTAAATTTAACCTTTTTTTAAACAAAAACAAAAGCGGCGCCCAAATTTTTTTTTTTAAATTTCTCCCACACCAAAACAAAATATTACACCCCCCCCCCCCCCTGCGTATTCACCGACTGGATGAATAGCTGCTAAATATTTTCTCACGAAGTGGGCCCAATATATTAAAAAAATATGTATGTGCTCTTACCCCCCCCCCCCCCCCCCCCCCCCCCGCTTATTCACAGCCGGCTGAGTCGGCGCTAAATTTTTCCTCTAAAACTGTACCCCAAAAAAAAAATGTGCTTCTACACCCAGCCCCCCGCGTTTTTTCATTTTTCACCGGCCGGCTTAGTCGGCGCTAAATTGTTTTCTCAAGATTTGCCCCCCCCCCCCTCTTTTCGCCTGCTGGATCCGCCCCTGAGTGTAGACGCCACATACTTTAAGTATAATGGCTGCCAGCTGTGCCTTGGTGTGATTAAGAGAGACTTGATGTGAAATGGGTTGTTGAGATTTGGAGAGGGGAGTCCTGGTCCATCATATTACGAGAAACCGGTAGGACGCCACTAAAGTAAAGTAAAAATATTTGGACTAAGGGCTGTGAGATTCCGAGAAAAGTAAAACATCTGCTCAGAGCTAGATTATATTCTGGATCTCCACAGAAACATGATAGCTGTTCAAAACACATCGGTGTTCTCTACTCTATGTCGCAAATTGGGAACTAGAAGGGCATTGATATAACCCTGTGATTTCACTGCATGTCATGAAAACCCTCTTATGTAACAACAAAATCAAAAAACTATATTCTAGGGCCAAAATTGTCAAGCTTTTCATTACAATGCTGCCCCTCATCACTCATACAATGTACATTTTATAAACTGATGCACAATATTTTGTCAAATACTATTTTTCACATTTTCCTGCAATGCCCCGTTAAAATTAAAATTACATCTATGATTTAAGACATTCAATATATCTTACTAAGGCAATTCTACTGAATGTATGGGCATGGCTAAATTTTATTTTCAATAATCTATAATCATTTTTTGTAATTCTCCTTGATAAATTTCCTAAATTGTTACACGGTTTTAATATAGTTTGTAGATAATCCGTCTTATATTTAAAAGGGGGCAGTGGCTACAATTAGAAGCCTCCATTGACAAAACATGGCACACATATTAAGAACAATGCGCTATTTAAGCACATTTTCCGTTTAGGGACAAACATTTGAATCCAATCAGTTGTAAGACCAATTTGAAAGAAGGTTGAATGCACACGAAAGGAATCTAGCTGAAAGAAACCTCTATATTGACCAGAAAAAAAGCTGACATAAAAGTAAAGTGCAATATTATTAGGTACGTCGATACGAGGATAAAAGCGAGGGCGCTCTTCAAAATAGATTAGGTTAATTAATTTTTAAAATATGTTTTTAATGTAACCGTGTTTCAAAAATTGATTCTAAAAATATGTAATGGCATGAACTATCACTCTACAAAGTTTGAATCATCAATTTAAAGCGCAAGACAAAAAGTTGAACAAAGTACCTAAACAGGACAATAACACCATCTCGAACTGTAAACCTTCGTACATACACATTTTTCCATTCAGGATGGATCCCATTCGTGACAGATTGTGTGGAAATCGATTTACACGTCGTGTATTTTACATGCAGGAAAGGGTGTATCACGCCGTTTAATTACGTTTAATTAAAGGTAGAATTTGCGTAGCAATTAGACGAATTCAGATTTTTTTTTTCCTGCCATTTATTTATTATGCAGTTCATATGCAAAGTTGAACCTAATACGTTCTTATGTCTTTCCATAATACTTAGTGTAAAACTAACAAAATTATACACATTATGTGGTGAATATTCGAACACAAGAAATCTATAGAAGATTATAGCTGCAATATGTGACAAATAGATGTAAGAGCTGTTGTGTGTGTAGGGTTTGCCACTGCTTAGTGTGTATAATATGAAACTATTTAAGTTGTATGATTATTGGATATCACGATATTAACAATGTTTATGTACACCCATTTCATGTTAAATAAATCATTCGCATAATAGGAATTTATTTAATCGTGCAGTCGTTTTAGAACAATCAAACCTTGGTATTCAGCTATATGGTATAGATTTGGGCTTTTTTGGTTTACCTTGCATATGTTATTATTCATTATCTCCATATGTTTTCTTTTAATGCACCCCCTCAATAAACTTTATTTTCAGCACAATTAACTTTGAGGTATATATGCTATTATGTTTCTTGTAAATTGATCCTCAGCATGAGTGTTCAAGCGGTATTAAATCTGGGGCGATGAATTGTAGTTCCGCTATTCAATTTTGTTTTTAAATACATACAAAGTTTTAATTTGAAAAATATATATTCAATGTCTGGTCTGGCGAGAGCATAATTTAACCAAAACTGTCAAATGGTGCGAACTGAATTGACTCAGTGACATAAAAGCTCCAAGCCTCAAACATATGGTTTATTATCATTATTGTAAGTTTTTATTGTTGTTATTATTATCATTATTATTACTATTATTATTATTATCGTCATCATCATATATTCATTATCAGTGTTTCTATATACTGACCTTAGTTTCACAGTATAGTCTAATTGAGCTGTACCTCTGCACCATCTAACATTCTTCTGAATTCGACTTAATTGGCTTATGAAGATAATTGTTTCCCTTTGAAACAGAACTTTAACAAACAAAACTGCCTACAACTTAAATGACAACGTGATCGACACAAATTAGCAGTCATTGACAATTGCGGATCTTTTCTTTAAGAACAGCCTACCAAGGGTAGCGACTGAATAGTCTTGTTCAAGACTCAAATGCACCAGAAGTCTTAAGAGACTCGAATATATCCGCAGCATTGAACTCAGAATCGAATAAATATAACAAATTTGTTATTTATAACACATCTAATTAAGAATTCAATCTGCGATAGAAGTAAAAATCCGTTTCATAAAACAAATAACAAGTTTATATAGTCAATAATATGTATTGATAGTTCGCGAACGAGTCTAATTGCACTGTCGCGCTCGCCTATATCCAACTAAAACAACAACGACCTTATCTGTGACAACATTAACAGCTAGGCAACTTCGGTGCTGGACACGGTTTTCTGTAGAAATCCTGTAAGTACATGTCATATTTATTCCGTAATTTCGTATTCATAAGGTGATATTTATGTGTTTTTTGATATTTGAATACTTTCCGGAGGTTAAACAAAGATTGATCCTGAGAGTTAGAGCTCGTGTGCCGGGGCGAGTGCATGAGTAGGCCTAATAGTGGGGTAGCTTAGTGAAAAAATCGTGACACGGTGGACAAAAGCATGATTTTTTCACCAAATTATCTTCACGATGTACCTTCTTAAAAAAGGCTATGCTCCAAGAAAATTGATGCTGGAAAGGTGGTGAAAATGACGTCATTATGACATCATTTATTCATTACATAATCACAGGAAAACCCCAAAAATAAAGCAACCGTGGTCCTACTTCTATAGTTTTGAAGCAAAAAAGAAATGAAACTTGGTGTATGTGATGACATTGAGGGGTAGATGTGCGAGACATGTTTTTTTGTGTTTGTCGGACAAAGCGTTGCCATGGTAACCACAATTTTACCAAACCTTATAGTGCAAATTACTTCCACAGAATTTAAGCAATTAATGTCAAATTTGGTATCTATAACGATCTATGAGTGTGGTTATAAAAAACACCCTTTGTGACTGTGCGCCACCTAGCGTTGCCATGGTAACCAGATATTTTTGCAAAACTCTTGCTGAGCGAACTACTTCCACAATATTGAAGCAATTGAAATCACATTTAGTGTTCATGACGGCACTGGGGTATAGATGTGCAAGACATACTCTTTTTGTTTTTCGGACAAAGCATTTCCATGGAAACTGTACTCGGATAAAGCGTTGTCCTGGTAAACACATATTTTTGCATTAACATGAAGCATTTAAGCTATTATGATCAAATTTGGTGTGTACGATGATCTATATGTGTAGTTGTGCAAAATGCCCTTTGCGTTTGCACCGGACAAAGCATTGTCATGGTAACCACAAACTTTTTGTAAAAATCTTGTTGAGCGAATTACTTAACTCAAAAAGAACTATGGTTTTTTTTACACACACACACACACACAACACATATACACAAATAATTTTTAACCCAAGTTACATTCTTTATGATCACATGAGTTGGATATACTGGATTAGGGGTATTAATCACCTTCAGTGATATTTCTAGTTTGCTCTGTTTTTAAATCTTCTTGGCATCAGAACTGATGGGTCATTACTATTATGGTACCACTTGGACTACATGTTATATATGGTCATTTTCACGGTAAAGGGTGTAACTTTTCTCAAACAGGGTCAAAATTTCAAAATATGTTTTCATAATCATTTTTACTAAATTATGGATTTTTTTTGGTTCTGGAGCTTAAACTACATGAGAAACCTGGACAAATAATGAAAAACTGTGACAAATATGATAAATTTGAACAAAAACAACATTTTAATTCTATCAACTTAAATGACAACATTTGTTCTCCAAACATAATTCAATTGCGATTTTTCATTTGCTATTCTAATGTACTTGAAGGCTTATAAAGCTTTTTTGGTCAAACTTATTTGGTCTTTAAAAAAATTCAATGCGTTTGTCAAATTCAAGACAAAATATGAATTTGACATTTAATTTGTCAAATTTACCTATCTTCCAAGAGGGGGAGCAAAATAAAAATTATTCTACAAATACCATTCAGTGAGGGCTAACTACAATGCAAATTCCAAAGAAATCGCATTTCAAATGAGGAAGTTGAAAATTTCATATGTGTGTGTTTCGGAGGCTTCAGGTTAACAATCTTGCCTGTTTTGGAGGCTTCAATTATGTTAACATAAAATTTTGTCCATTACTTAGGTAACATATTAAGAAAAATTCAACTTAAACTGTTAATGATATGTTAAATTACTAATATAACACCTAAAACATTTGTTTACAGAGTAAAAATACTTGTTAATATACAGTACGGTACATGTATGTTACAAATTATCTTTACTTAATACAATGAGCTTTTTGTTCAGTACGCAAACATTGCAAAGTCACTTAATAGAATCCATGAGGATTTCAAATCTGTGCTGATCTGGGCTGAAATATATTGTCCAGTATGTAATTTCAAGGGAAACCACTTTTCTCATATCAAAGTTGAAACATTCAGGGAACATATACATGTATAGGATTAGTTCAAAGTAGTGTTTCGGAGACTTCACACATGTTAACACACTATATTGTCAACTACAAAGGCAATATACAAGGCAAAATTTAAACTTACTTTTGAAGTTTTGATAAAATGTTGAACTGAAAGTAAAGTACTTAAAATAATTGTTCACATAGAAACCATTTATGTTAATTCATAGCAATGTATCATTACCCTTCACTTGCGTCTTTGTCATCATTTATTCTTAGTGCAAAGAATTACATTTCTGCACAGTGGCTTCCACGAACTTGTTTGGTTTGTGTTATAACATTTACCCAGACATTCATATATTTGAAACCAATAGCATGGTAAGCATTTACAGGTTTTTGTCCTAGAACACAATTGTGTTCAACTTCTTATTTCAAAGAAATTTATCTGCCAACATGTCCAGTTCTCATTCTTAAAAATTATAAGCTAGGTAAGCTATGTCGGCTGGGGTCATGGTTAGTAGAGTCATCTTCTGTATTACATCTTTTTAGGCTGATGGGCTTCACAGTCCTCTGTAAATTCATACAGACCATTGCTGTTCCGGCGCATGAATTTGACTTTGACATTATCATCAATCACAGCTTTTACCTAGTAGCAAAATAAGAATATAGCAAATACAAACTTTCATTAAAACACAGAAAAAAAATAGCTTTCAGAATCCATTTCACTTCCTTGAAATATCTCACAGTCCGTTATTTTATTTTATTCACCCTGTTAACTTTGTTTAGTACCACAACACCTGCTCATATACATTTTAGAAAAATCTTTTTGTCTAAGTATTTCTCAAATAAAGAAAGTTGATCCTGTTAAATATTTTCTTAATAATCCGAGATCTAACATGGGTAATACTTACAAGAGCCATGAAAACCACCCCATTTGTAGTCCTGCTGCTAGATGAAGGTGCATCAAAATATATGGCCACATAATCGCTCACATTGATCCTGTAATTGGAGAAGAAAATAGGAAATTAGCGGTTTGTACTGGACAGAACAATGTTAATACATATATCTGAGCTTGGACACTAAAAACAATCATTTTTTTAAATTATTTTAGAAGTACATCTTGAATGCATATTTGCATGTGCATTACATAATATGTTATTATTTATCCATGTGTTGTTTAAGAAATAGTTCAGTAGTCTATATGGGCACCATCACTAAGGATGCTTTTATTGTACATTACACAAATCTTTAAGTACTAATTAATGACAGACTTGTTTTAATCTGTTCAAAATTGTAATATGTACAAGGATTCCATTCATTTTTACTGGTTTACCACTGTGCATAGCCATAGACCTGTACATGTATATGTACACCCATGTATATCAGGAGTCTAATTTAAACATCAGTACTGAGGCAAACCTTATGGGGTCAGGTGACATCCAAATATAAGTTGGTTTATGTTTATGTGCAGGGCTGCATACAACTCATAATTTGTTATAAATATATTTCATAGATTTTTAAATATTTTACAATAATTTGCTCAGACCTGCTAAGCTCCACCCTAAATAAATGCTCCAGATTTCATTCTTCTATCTGTTAATCATTAGTGAGCTAACAAGAGAAATTGTTATGTAACTTTCTCCAACTCAGCACATGCACACAAATACCTCCATGTTACTTTTCTTTTCCTGGTAATGCTACACCACTTCTGACATAGCAACTCATATGTTGGTATTTTATGGTATATTGTAAACAGGTGATCAGCTCTGGTTTAGCAATTATACATACAGATGTACATGTACCACTGTCTCTTGTTAGCTCACTAATGATTTACAGATGATGTCACAAGATGAATGAGATTTGGAGCATTTTTCTAGGCTGCACATCAACAGGAATCAAACTATATTTGGATGTCACCCGATCTTTAAAACCACAAACATTGATTATGATAAAGGTACATGTACAATGTACAATACAGATCGTAACTAGGCGTCACTATATTTTTAGTGACAAATCTAAACTTTAAAAACTTTCACACACCAGTTCCATTACAATAACCCATTAAAAAAAGTACAAGTTAAGTAATTTAAGGACAAAATATACAGTTCTTACCTCTATATTCTTGTGGATAACGGTAAGGAAATGAGAGAACTGTCTGCAGTGTTCATGCCTGTCTGGAAGAGATGCTATCTAGTATCAGATGTTGCTAGCACATGTTGCTGTAACCTTGTCAATATCTTAATGGTCTATTGTCGTGGACAAGATCCGCAGTTCGAGTCCTGCTGCGGCACTAATATCCTTTGGCAAGACATTTATCTACATTTGCCACACTCGACCCAGGTGAGGTAAAACTGGGTACCTGGCAGGAATTAATTCCTTGAAATGCTTAAGCGCTGTAATGGAAGCCATGCTAAAGCCGGGGTTATAATTTCCAAATTTGGAAGCGCAAAGAGACGTTCAATATGTGCTACACAAGAACCGAATGTTATTATTATTATTCCATTGTCTTAAAGGTACTATGTCCCTTTTGCAGCCAACCTCAAATTCTGTGGAACTTTGCATGAATTATGAATATGTCATGTATGTCCTATCTGTGAAATTTAAACGTTAGCAGTGTCCTCATATTCAAATTATGCAAGGAAACCCGTTCACTTGCTAGACTTCACTGTCAGACACTATTGAGTGACTGACTGGCTTTTTTTCTTCTTTGGTAATAACATACATGAAAAGAGTTGTAAAGGGTACATGAGCATTTGTCTACATCAATAACCCACTTCTTGTGATGGCCAAGATTAAACTGATTGAATCTTTGCGCAGCATAAAACGTATGACCATTCGGTACAATTGTCTGAAAATCAAGACTATTACTTTTGGGCTCTATAGCCCTAAAGTCGATTTGACAACTAATAGTCATTATTTTCTCACTTGAAGACATTTTCAAGCCCCACCTTTTTTAGGGAAGTTCTAAATAAGTATTATCTTTCAAATGATTTTGTCATGTCATGTCATGATTTTGTTCGTGATGTATCATTCTATAATGGATCTTTAATAGAGCTTAAATGAAAATATTGTAAGCAACTAAGTATGAATTACTATATCAGGAAAAAGCTTCCCACCAAACAAATGACATTTGAATAAATGAAAACCGCTTGTGTTCTCCCTAGAATGGTGTGACGTGTTTTGTTGAAAGACAGAGCAATTTCATGCTGAAGGCAAGCAAAAGCTAAGTTTGAGGACAAGCAAGGTTATTCATACAGATTTTAGGCAATTGCTTTTATGCTTGATCTTATGCTTGAAGTTGAACCAATGCTTACAAGCAGTTGCTACCTTTTATGTATACGGCCCAATGTACAGTATAAACTTCTTAGAATCAATAAAACATGAACCCGTAACTATACCAGTGTAGATAAATATGCTTGGTCCCCATTTACAGAGACATTCAGAGAGGCATCGGTCCAATTCTGATGTAAAGGCATAAACTTAAAAACCGCATTGCAGTAATGAATTTTCACCCAACTTTAAATTACCCAGGTCTGGCCTATGTGTAAAGTTATGCGGGCTTAAAGTTGATTGGTACACACTTCATCAAATTAGCTCTGATATATGACCATAACACACCCTAATACACCTATAATAATGCACACAAACACTCACTCGAATTAGATTTTGACCAACCTATGCCCCGTTCAAAGTTGTTAAGGTGTGTCTGGTGGTATAGACTAGCAGAGTATGGCACAATTCTACTTATCTTCCCCTTTGTTTTCAAAGTACAATTCATCTTGGAAGAGAAATGAATAGCACCAATTTCATGAAAGGTGATGCAAAGAAAAGAAAAATTATTTCTGACTAGTACTAAAAATCAGTTTTGTTCATCGTCTCTTGAAATTTTATTTTACTTCCTTTCCAACCCTTCATATATTTCATAACACAAATTTGCATGGGTGGGACTGACTCTTGGTTTGTTCTTAGCAAGTGTACATATCATCATTGAAATTACAATATGCCTAAATAGTTAAGAAGATGTTTATTACAGTAAAAACTGATTTACTTACGTTTGTAATGAGGGAAATGTCTGAAATAAATCAACTGGATCCGGAGAAGGATGAAAATAGCTTTCTCTGCAATCCCATTGCTTTCTAATTCTCTGAAACTACAGCTTGCAGTACAAACTCTTGACCAATCAGAAGCCAGCATTCATGGGAGTCAGGGGAATTCCCTGTTATGCTAGTCTATGAATGCAGACACATTGTCACACAGGTGGGACTTTTGAAATTATGTAAATTAAGGCTACTTACTCATGATTCGTGTCAGCAGATTTTTTGGAGCATAGCCTAATTTTGATCCTCATACATATACAAATGTCTGGTGAAAAAATTATGCTTTTGTCCGGCCTGTCATGATCAAAGGTATATTTGTCACTAAGCTACCCCACTATAAGTTAGACGGATCTAATTAAATTGCCCAATTTCAGGCGCGACCTGAGAGCGGAAGCTGCATGTAGTGCCCGCCCTAGAACTCCCGGGCATTTTCGCAACAGACCCTACGGCCTACTGTCTACTGAACACACATAGTCTAGCTGCATAATAATAATAATAAATAATTTAATTTTTATATAGGTCTAGTCTAGATCTAAGAAGGGAGATCCCGGGTTCGACCTGAACCCAGGCGGATGACTGAAGTGTGTTAACGTTCCCCTTCCCTTGTTCATAGGCGCAGGTTATGTCAAGTGGAACACAGGATAGGAATTCTAGGACGTTAAATGGAGGCCCCGTGTACAGGAGAGTCACCACCCTTGCAAAGAACCATTTCATTGCACTATTCGTAGCTATAAATTATAGCTAGAGGTCTAGTAAGTAGTGAAATCTAGACAGTAGACCCTAGTGTAATGGTCCACATGCACACCCCAATCAGGCCTAGTACTAAAGTATATGGCAATGGTATAGATTCTAGGGCAGGCATCTTGAAGAATCTTCAGTATTGAAGGAGGCCGGAGGCAGATTATCTTGAAGAAGAAGGATAGTAGATCTAATAATATTTAGGGTCTATATACTTGTTGTTAAGCGCTTAGGCCTAAAGTAAAGGCGCTGAGAGACATTTGTATTAAGCGCTATTCTAGTAGACGTGACCTAGATCTATATCTCCATGTTTGCTTCGACAGGCAGACGCTTTACTAACTGAACAAACTCGCCTCCTGCGTCCTGGCTGTGTATTAAAAGCTGTGCTATTGATTCTCAACATTTCACACAGCACTGTACAAAACTCAGCTGATTTCACTCAAAATGTGTACTTTACTTAGATCTAGTGACAATTGATGACACCTAGAGGTCTACTACTACTAGATCTAGGCTAGTACTAGTCTAGAAAAAATGAATATTCATCATCTAAAAACCAGGTGGCTGACAACGAATCATGTTGACTACAAGACTTTCTCGGATTAATCATTATCCCCTAGCAACGAAGTCGGAGGGGATATAGAAACACTGCCGTCCGCCCTTCCGTGCGTCCGTGCGTGCGTCCGTAACAATTTTGGATTCCGATCAATAACTTCGGTAATGTTTGACGGATTTTAATGAAATTTGATATGAAGGTACATGATATCAAAATACAGGCTAAGTTTAATTTCCGAGTATGTAGGTGAAAGGTGAAAGGTCATATATGTGAAAATGTGGTTAACTTCCTTGCCTAGTAATATAATAGTATAGTCCAATGGAGTTAACTTGTTCTGATGTACATGTATATAGGCCATTTGTACCCTGCGAGGGGATGCTACGCTTTGCGTTGACTTGTTAATGTAGGATCTAAATGAGCAAGCTATCGTAAGTCAAAGTAGATATTTCTTTGTTATTTTTTATTTGTTAATATAGTCAAATGTAATTTTACAGCCAAAGTGAATATATGAGGATGTAAAGAGTAAAAATCTTGTTGCATATCTCATTCATCGCGGTCCTGCCGAACCAAACCATTTGTTCCACTCAGTCACCATAGGACGTACTTCAGTCTATGTATAGAGGCGGTCAGATGAGCCAGATGCAATTTCAGCAGAACAATTGCAGCAGAGACTGAAGCTTTCGGTCTATATCAGTCTATACTTTGCTGGAGTGGTATACTGTAGTAGTAGATCTACTGTCATCCGTTGCTGTTATCCGGACTTGGCTGTCGGATTTAATAAATTTAGAATTGAAAATTCCATTTTTATTTCAAGGGCAGGCTAAGCTGTAAGCAGCCAAAACAACAACTCCTGCAATAAACTGCAAACCCCCAAACAGTGTTTAGATTTCACTAACTCCATGCTATACATGTACATGCTTCAGAGAACTCCGCCTACGGCCTCCGAAGGGCTTCGGTGACGGAGCTCCCTGGAGTAAAGATTTCACTAGACTTTAGTTAAGTTAGAATTAAAATAGAAATGTAAATAATCTAGAGTCTAGTCGGTAGACAGTAGGAGGACTAGGAGGCAAAGTGGCTCAGTCGGTAAAGCGTCTGCCTGTCGGCCCAAAGATCTTGGGTTCGAATCGCACCCAGGCGGATGACTGAAGCAAGCGTTGTGTGTTAACTTGCCCCTCCCCTTGTTGTTTCATAGACGCAGGCTATGTTACATGGAAAACAATCCGTCTCGGATAGGATGTTAAAAGGAGACCCTGTGTACAGGATAATCACTACCCTTGCACGTTAAGAACCCACGGCACTATTCGTATAAGAATAGGGGAAAAACCTGATGTAGTGGTCTACCTGCACACCCCACTCAGGCCGAATATACATATACATGAATATACGGCATCTGCAAGAATCTTCAATACCGGTATTGAAGGATAGGAGGCAGATTATCTTCAAGAAGGAGAAGAAGTATACTGCACTCTGCAGTGTAGTGTAGTCTAGTGCCTAGTCATGCTAGTGGTTTCTAAATTTACTCTAGAGTATTGATCTTTTTTTGGCGCAGTCTTGACTCTATGTCTCTTAGTTTACGTCAAGACTCTGTCTCTACTCTCAGTCTTTAGACTGCAAACATTGTAGCAGTGACTGTTGTTTTCAGTCACTGAGTCTGAATGTGAACCTAGCTATTTTTAGAATAAATTTTCCCCCTCTCTTTTACAGGAAATATA